ATTCAGATGGGTATATCTTACCTTTTCTCCTTTGCCTTTAGCTTCTTTTCTTTTCTCAGCTATTTGTAAGGCCTCCTCAGACAACCATTTTGCCTTTTAGCATTTCTTTTTCTTGGGATGGTCTTGAACACTGCCTCTTGTACAATGTTATGAATCTCTGTCCATAGTTCTTCAGGCACTCACTCTAATCCCTTGAATCTATTTGTCACTTCCACTGTATAATCATTAGGGATTTGATTTAGGTCATACCTGAATGGTCTAGTAGTTTTCCCTACTTTCTTCAATTTAAGTCTGAATTTGGCAATAAGGAATTCATGATCTGAGCCACAGTCAGGTCCTGGTCTTGTTTTTGCTGACTGTATAGAACTTCTCCATCTTTGGCTGCAAAGCATCTAATCAATCTGATTTCTATATTGACCATCTGGTGATGTCCATATGTAGAGTCTTCTCTGGTGTTGTTGGAATCTGTCACTACTTCCACCTTTTCCCTTCTATTTGCCATGCAGTAATGGGGCTGGATGCCATGATTTTAAGTTTTGTTGTTTTTTTTTTAATATTTAGCTTTAAGCCAGCTCTTTCATTTTCCTTCTTCACTCTCATCAAGAGGCTCTTTAGTTCCTCTTCACTTTCTGCCATTGGAGTGGCAGAAATATCTGAGATTATCTGATATATCTGCAGTTACTGATGTTTCAAATGGGATTTATAAGATTAAATAATATTCTAATACATATTAAAAAATGTAAACATTTTGTAAACTTTTGAACCTATCAATTTTACATAGAAAAATATAACCTGAGATTATCATGGATGCAGACAAAGATTTAATGGTCATCAAAGCACTGATTGTAAAAACAGCAAACTAAAAAAACTTCAATTTCAATAAGAGAGGTTAGTTGGTACAGTAGTAAAGAATCTGCCAGCCAGTGCAGGATACACAAGAGACATGAGTTCAATCCCTGAGAAGGGAAGATCTCCTGCAGTAAGAAATGGCAACACACTGCAGAATTCCTGCGTGAAAAATTTCATGGACAGAGGAGACTGGTGAGCCAGTCTATGGGGTCAAAGAGTTGGACACAGCTGAAGCAACTTGGAAAGCATGCACGAACCACATCTTTACTACTGGATTGTGCCTGGTGATTGAACGACCTGACTCAAACTGGACAATCATTCTACCTCTTAATAATCTGAAGTTGAGATTTGTAAATGCCAATCTGTTTCTTCTCATGACTTGAACACAGCATAAACAACTCAAGAGGCTGGTGTATGGTTTTGTATATTTAGCAACACATGTGGAAGACCAAAGAAGTTTGTCTACAGAGAGGAAAGAATGAAGCACATCCATAGAGCCAGGAACTGAGCCTGGAAACCATGTATCCCCAGCAGGTTCGGATGATGTTTCAGGCCCCAATCCTGACTTTGGACTCCATTTGGCACCCCTGTTTCCTTTTAATAATTCTTTGTTTTCTAACCTGGTCTGAAGTTACTCTTACTTGCAACCAAAGTTAGATTGCCTATTTAAAACCAAAAGAGCGATTTCTAAGAAAATTAGCAATAACATCACAATGAGATATCTGGGCATTTGTGACAGTAAATAGGTAAATAGATGTTAAAAATGTTTCCTTTTTCTCTTAACTTGATGAAACTCTCATGTACAATGCTTTCGGAAAATATTTTGGGGAAAGCTCTTTTGAAGAAAGATATGTAGATATGGTCTATGTAGATAATCTCCTGTTGTTAGAGCTTAAAAACGCCACTGATATATTGTGGGGAACCATTTCCTCCGAGGTTTCATTCATTTTAAGAGGACTTTTTGGAACTCAAATTTGAGTTTGTTGCCAAATAGAACACTGAGAAAATTATTTTGGAGAATTTTTACAGTAAAATATTTTCCTGTTAATGTCAAAACAAGTGATCAGGCATTTTTATCCCATTTCATCTACATTTGTTTGCAAAGCTGTTTTATATGCACTTTTAGCTGTGAAGACAAATCACTTGACAGGATCTATGTTATGTTCAGCCTCTCACATAGGAAGATACTGCAGCAGTGAAGCAGCTCCAAATGCTCTCGTTAATATGGTTTTCAAAGTGAAAAAAAAAATCCTTGCTTTGTTTTACTCAGATTTTATCTTGAAACCTTTAAACACATTTTAAAAAGTGTTTGAGCTATATAGCTTTACCAGAAGAGGTCTACATTTTTAACAATTGGAAAGACTACTGTAATAATATAGCAAGTATCCTTAGATGAATTTTAGTACTCTGAGTCTCAGTATTCTAAATTTTCGTATTTAGACTTTGACTAGGGCAGAACAAAGACATCAGAAATATGATCCCCACACTTCAGACAGCTTTAGTTGCAGGGAAATGGAGCCAAACAAGCAGATCTTGCATGACCTCAACTCTGCTCCTGGAATCACCCTCTGCCCAGTTCACAAATTCCTGGCATGCCTTTCATTCTCTTGTGGCAGAGAGCAAGTGCAGTTGCCAGGTTACTGTTGATGAAGAAAACTTTTTAGAAGCAGAAAGTTAGTGTCTTGGTTCTGAATGACTCATCTCACACTCTGGGCCTTGTTAAACAGTAACTATTGGCTGCTGCTTAATCTGCTGGATCTTGCTCAACCGGTAATTTGAGAGTCCAAGTTAGATATATCACTTTTTACTTTTCACTGTTTTTCAAGTATAAAATAGATGAATTATATTTACTTTACAATGGATTCAGAAGCATCCGGTACAGTCATTTGGCATAAAATTGTAAAAACAAAATGAGTGTTTATCAAGTAAAATGAGAGATAAACTTTCATCTTTCCACATCACCTATTTATTAAAATATCAAGTTGGTTTTAATCTCTAAAGAAAACCTAAAGGTTTTAGATTTGAGAAACAGGTCTCATAAATGTGTGTGTGTGTGGCAGGGGGGCTTCCCTAGTGGTCCAGTGGTTAGGAATCTGCCTACCAATGCAGGGGATACTGGTTGGATCCCTGACCCAGGAAGATCCCATATGCCTTGGGGCAACTAAGCCCCTGTGCCAACTGCTGAGTCTGTGCTCTAGAGCCCACTCACTTCAACTAGTGAAAGCCTACATGCAGCAACAAAGACGCAGCATAGCTAAAAAATAAAACTTTTAAAAAAGGAAATGTGGGGTGGGGTGGGGTGGGGGCAATCTCAGAAATATGAGACCCATGGTTTTCAGCCACTTCCTTCTGTTCAGCAGACGCTAAGGGAGTATAAACCATAGGTGGTTTTCAGAGCCATCCTTACAAGCGACTTTTACCAAGTTAGGTGAATTTGGATGAGCCTCAAATTTCATTATCTATAAAGTGGGAATAGTAATACCTACCTCACGGAATTGTTGAGAGCAGTAGAACTGAGAGAAGCATTCATCCACCTTATCAGTAGATATACGCTATTAATACAGTAAGCCTCCAGGAAATGGTACATACATGCTATTTTTTTTACTAAAAAGATATTTTCACTTCCTTCAAATTTCAGAAGATACAAAATTATATGTTGTATCTTCTGAAATCTTTCCATTTCTGTTTCCCAGTTACACAATTTCCCTCCTTGGGGTCTATTTATATATGTTTCTTGTGTACCTTGCTAGAGGTACTTTGTATATTTAAAAGCTAAAGTGTATATATTTCCCCTCACCTTTTAAAATAACGTGAAAAAAAATCACACTTCCATATTTTTAAGAAAATCACTTAAAATGTATCTTAGAAGTTGTTTATATAAGTTGTACTTGTTTTTAAACACTTATGGCACAGATGTCTGTGTGTATATTAGGGGTGGGGGCAGAGAGGGAGAGAATACTCAGCTATCTATTATGCAGGCCTATTCTACTAACTGTTAACTACTGGATATTCATTCATTTATTCAACAAATATTTATTGAAAGTCTAAAACAAGTCAGGCTTGGCCCTGGCAATACAGCAAAGAACGAAACAAGACTGTCATTTCTTTCCCATTCTAGTGAATACGAGGCTGGACATTCCACTTTGCCCCATCCCTTTCCGAACCCCAAAGTGGCCCTGACAGGGGTGGGGGTGGAGGGGGTTTGACTGTCAGACTTTTGACTCCTGTCAATCAGGATCCCTCGGGTGCCGGGTGGGGTCTGCAATGACCAGAACCCTCCCGGGCATCCATAGCTCCACACCCTTCCAGACGGGGGGTGAAGGGGCGGCCCCAGACTGGGTTTGGATCCGCGGCAGGAGGGCGGGGAGTCCTCTGGCGTCTCTGGGGCATCCGTCCCGAGAGTGAGAGTGGACACTCGCCTGCGTTCGTGTCTCTCCGAGGCGCGGGCAGCACACAGGGAACTCAGAGATGACTTCCTTAACTATCCTACTTAGCACAGATGGGAAACCGACGCCCGAGGAGGCGAAGGCTAGGACTGATGCCCACCTCAGTCTTGGGGCGAGTGGGTCCACTCACAGGGAGTCCAACAGCTGGGCAGACGCGAAGCATTAAGGAACTACATACTTCTTGGTGTCTACTAGAAACTACAGTAGAAAGGCCTCGGTCCCTCCGGAGCGGGTGGCGGGAGCTGAGAACCCGGAGGGCGGCGCGGGCCCCAGCCCTTTAAATTCGCAGCCGCGCGGGAACTACAGCCCAACAGCCACAGGCGGGTGGGGTGGGCAGACGCTAGTCCCCGCCGGCCAACGACCGCCCCTAGCCCGCCCCCTCACCGATACCTCTCCAATCAGCAACCCTCTTGTCGCTTGCCCCTGCCCGTCACCCCCACTGGTCGCCGACCTCGAATACCCGCGCAGAGGGACAACAGGGGCGGGGCTCCCGGAGGGTGTGTCTGGGCGAGTGCCGACGTCGCGCGCTCCCCTGGAGTTTCGAACGCTGTTGGCTCCTTTGGAAGAAAAAAAATACAAGAGCGGCGGCCAATAGCATGGCAGAAAGGACCCGCGCGCAGGTCCGGCTCCGCCCCGGTCTGGCTAGAAAGGAGTCCAGGCCCGGCCATTGGCTCGCGCGTCCTGTCACTCGCCGCTGCGGCCAGCGGGCAGGGGCCTTGCGGTGATTGGTTCCGCCCAGGCGCGAAATGTAACGCGGGAAAAACAGGAGCAGGGACCCCGGCGGCAGGTTGTTATTTTCGGGGGCTCGGCGCCGCGCGTCTAGCTTCCCTGTCATCGCAAAGGCAAGCCGCCCGCTGCTTCCCGCAGCTGCAGCCTGCGTTGGAGAGTACAAACAGCGGAGAGCGGGTCTGACCCAAGGCTTGGGGGTCCAGCCCTGACCGTCTGGTCCGGCCGAGCCGTTCTGTTCCTTCGCTGGCCGCAGCGCAGAAGGGTTCCAGGAAACGTTCGCTTGCCATGAGCCGGCGGGACTGAGAGCCGGCAAGACTGAGAGCCAGCAACTCGGAGCAGCGCCGGCGAGCGAAGCAAGGACCAGACCCGGGCTCGGGGACTGCGGCCCACGGCCGCCGGAGCTGCGGATCCGGGCCAGGCAATGATCCGGGGTGTGGAGGCGCAGATGGCGGACAACGCCCCTCAGCCGCCGCCCGTCATCTTCTGCCAGGACTCCCCGAAGCGGGTGCTGGTGTCGGTCATCAGGACGACCCCGATCAAGCCCACATGCGGCGGCGGAGGGGAGCCAGAGCCGCCGCCTCCGCTCATCCCCACCAGCCCTGGCTTCAGCGACTTCATGGTGTACCCGTGGCGCTGGGGCGAGAACGCGCACAACGTGACGCTCAGCCCCGGAGCCTCCGGGGGCGCAGCCTCGGCTGCCTTGCCTGCCGCCGCCGCCGCCGAGCACCTGGGGCTTCGTGGACGGGGCGCGCCGCCGCCCACCGTCTCGGCCGCCGCCGCCTCGGGAGGTGAAGACGAGGAGGAGGCGAGCAGCCCGGACAGCGGCCACCTCAAGGTAAGTGGCGTGGGCGGGCGGGGCGCGGGGCAGTCGAGGCCCGTTAACGGCGCTGCCCTGCCGGCAGCGCCCGCGGACTCGGCGGGCGGGGCGGGGCCGAGTTAAAAACGCGAGGTCGCTTTGGCTGCGGCGGGGGCGGGCGGTGGCGGGTGACAGGACGCTGACGTCACTGCCGCGCGCCAAAAATCTGCCCCCCCCCTCGGGGGCGGGACGGACTTCAGTCATGTGACTTCGGCAGGGGATTGGGGAGGCCCAGCGGAACAGACGCCACTGGCCAGCAGGTGCAGTGGGCGGGAGCGCGGCCTGGGGGTCACGGACCGGAATGGTCAGCCGGCTTTGTCAGCCGTTCGGCCTGCCGCTGAGTCCTCTGGCGGGAGAGGGCGGGAAGGGGCCGCAGGCCTTCAACTGTTCCTCTGGGTGCAGGAAGGGAGGGGTTGCGCCGTTTCTGCTTCATCACTGCAGACACCACGACCCTGCTAAAGATGCCTTGCAGAGACGGCCGAAGAACAAGAAGGGACTTAGGGGAATCTTACCCAGCGTGTACAACTGGGCTCCCAGTTGTACTAAGTAAGCGTATAACTTTGCTAGATTCTGAGAACAGAGTGGAATCGGACGCTGTTGTCAGCGGCTTCGAATTGCTTGGAGACTCAGTCTGTTTTAGAGCCGGGAAGGATTCAAACCTACAATTTACGGATCAGGCAATTGATACTTAGAGGTATTGATGAAGGGAGCTCCCCAACGTACACAACTAGGTAGCAGAAATGCTGATAGGATAGACGCGTTTTTGTGGCTCCAAGTTCTGAAGCGGGGCTTCCATGGTGGCTCAGTGGTAAAGAATCCGCCTGCTAACGCAGGAGACGCGGGTTCCATCCCTGATGAGGAAGATACCCTGGAGAAGGAAATGGCAATCCACTCCAGTATTGTTGCCTGGGAAATCCCATGAACAGCGGAGCCTGGAGGGTTCAGTCCATGGGGTCACAGTAGAGTCGGACACGAGTTAGATACTAAACAATAACAGAAAAGTATTTGTGTAATGAGTAGTGCTGATATAAGTTTAGCATTCAAGTTCTGTTAGTTAAGTGGCTATATAAGATAGGCAGTTTGTTAAAGATAAATCACCTTGTGGATAAGTACATTTATATTCGCAAATATTGTATCAATTGAAACAAGTTGGTCATCATTTACACACAGTAGCGAAGATATTGAAACTCCTTGTTGAGCCCTGAGGAAATTGGTACACTGTTACTAATTGCATTGTTATTAAAGTACCGTAATTATACAGCTATATGCCTTGACACACTTCAACTCTTAAAGCTACACTTCAGTAAAAATTTGAAAGAAGTAGTAGAAATATTTATATTAGTGCTGAATTTGTGAAGTGAGCAATCACAGTGTGCTGTCTCTAAATAGCCCTTAATAAGATGGCTGGATATTCTAGGTATTTTTCCATATTAACATATTTACATGTTTAGTACTTGAAAAAAATATATAGTAGGTTATATAGTTGAGCAACATAAACACATAAATGCATAATTTACTTGTAGAAGATCTTGCATCTATTATTTTATTCCTGATTATAACTGAATCTAATTTTGGATTATCCAAAGAGGTTAATGTTATCATAGATAAATGAAATTCTGTAGGTATGGGGTTTTTTGTTTGTTTGGTTTGGTTTTTTGGCCCCAAACAGTCTTATTGTCACATAAATCTTTTTTAAAAAGTTCTTAATAATGCATGAGTTTGAATTTTATTTTTACTTTGTCTATTTATCAGAGGTAAAATATAGTACAAGTTAATGAAAAACACGTAAAAAGCTTTTATACATGTTACTTTTTTCCCTCCTCACAGTTGTGCATACTATAACTGTTTCATAAATTGTTGGCCAAGTTGATCCTTTTATCAATGAAGAATCCAAATACAGTTCCAAAAAATTCATTCATTTAGCGTCTCCATCCTGATGGGGGAAGGTCTGGAATATACTTTCTTTTAGGGAAGTTACCTAGTTTGATTTATGATCAGTACATTCTTTAGTTTTAGTCTAATTCTTCTGTTTTGCTTTTCTAAAGTACTTGTAGTTCTTTTGTTTCCACATGCATGAGTGAATCATAGTGGCTGAATCTGCTCACCTTCTGGGAAGATGGAAGTCCGAGATATAGTTGGTGCCAATGGCATGCTTCCCTCTATCTCCCCACACCCCCCACACACACCCTTCTCTCAGTATTTGGGTAAGAGGCAATAACGGCTGTGGGTTTGAGAGCATTTGTGTTCATTCACTATTTGTTACCACTGCTCAGAAGGGAGGCTTAAGCATCTCAGTCCTTGCTTTTTTGTTGCTGCCCAACATTGTCTCCCCTGCCTGTGGGGAAAATAGCCATCTTCTGCCAGCTTATTTTGGCCCCTCATCACAAGATTGTTTAGCACTATTGGGATACAGTTATATATTAACGTGGTCTCTCCCCAGGTTGTAGAATTCTGGCAGGGAAGGGGGCAGGTCTAATTTTCCTCTGCCTAAGGATATTCCAAGCCTCCATACTTGTGCCCTTTACTCATATTGCATTCATGAAGTTATTTTTCCACTGTGGAACCTGTGTAGTTTGACTTCTCTGCACATCCTCAGATTTACCCTTCAAGACCTGCCAGCTGCCTATCCTGTTTCACCTTTCTATCACAGATCATTTTAAACATCTAGACTGTACTTAGCCTTGTAGTAGCCTGTAGTTTTGATCACCACCATATTTAAACATAACATCATATTAACATGTTTCATCAACACAGTAGCCACCATTTATTATTCATTGCCTTCCAGAGCAGACCACCAGACTTTGTGTTGATTGTTTTGAATTTTTTAATCAATTTACCTTGTTTATCTGATGAAAAAGGAAGAATTAGAGAAGTCCTCAAAATTAAGTTCATCATATGATAAGTAGCAGCACTGATTGGAACCTTTTAGAGCTCTTACTCTTAATCCCTACATGATACTGCTTCTGTGAGTTGACTTTAGGGTTTTTTGGTTTTTTTCCTTTAATATTAAGATTCAAGTAGGAAATTTCCTGGTAGTCCAGTGGTTAGGACTGTGCTTCCACTGTAGGGGGCATGGGTTTGATCCCTGATCAACTCCTGGTGGGGGAACTAAGATCCTGTATGCTGGGTGGCTTGGCCAAAAAAGGAAAAGGAAAAATGGACTTTTTTGGTGGTCCAGTGGTTAAGAACCCCCCTGCCAATGCAGGAAACATGGGTTCAGTCCCTAGTCCAGGAAGATTCCACATGCAGCAGGGCAACTTAGCCTGGGCACCACAACCACTGAAGCCTGCATGCTCTAGAAGAGCCTGTGCTCTGCAACAAGAGAAACCAGTGTGATAAGAAGCCCACGCACCTTGACTAGAGAGTAGCCCCTTCTTATTGCAACTAGAGAAGCCTGCATGCAGCAACAAACATCCAGTGCACCCCCCCCCCCCACAAAAAAGAAGATGCAAGTAGACTCATAAAATACACTATTCAAAATGATCTCAATTGAGGTGCTTTATTAGAGTACATGCAATAGATAGATACAAATTAAGACTTGTAAAGTTGTCAAGATAAGTCAAAGTAAGGGACAGTGTTAGGAAGCAGATATGTGAGCCACAGGAAATTTGGATCAAATCTGAATTGGAAAAGGGAAATAAGATCTATTTACATTTTCTCATAAAAACAAGAAGGTATACACCTCTTCCACTGAAAACTATTTTTCTTTTCCTTCCAGATTGTTTGTATACTTTATTTGAATTTTGCTTTGTAAAAAATGTGTCAAGAACTTTTAGTTTTTTTAGTAATCAGGCAAACATCAAGTTTGAATATAACTTTCTAAGGCTTAGGTTAATGTGTACGTTATTTTAAGTGTCTTGAGAAATAACTCAAACTTTATTAAATAACTTTTTAAAGTTATTGATGTTTGAGAATAAAACATTTATCATAAAGTATTTTAGAAAGTATTTTTAAATCACTACCTTCTGGTGGTATTGGGATTGTTTTAAAAATTAAAATTGCTGAGATATGCAAACATTTTTGACAATATATTTATTTTACTTCTTTCTAATAGCTTATTTTGCAGCAGTGGCCACATAATAGCAATAAGATATGTTAGAGTTTCTAATTCTTTATTTATTATTATTTTTTCAGATTATCAAGCAGTCTTGACAAGATTTGTCTCTTAAACTACAAGTATACTTAGTCATTGATGAGTTAACACTTGGTTATTGTCAAAATGTACATGGAAACATGCTTTTGTTTTAAATTGCTAAGGCTGACATGAAGTGTTTTCTTAGAGTGACATTTTTGTATATATGGTTAAAAGATGCTCTTTTTTCATTTATTTAGGGTATTAGATGATTACTTGCCTTGCTTAATTTTCTTAGCTAAAAAAACACACTTAGTGAAGCTTTACCTGCATGTCACTGAGATGTTGGATTATGATGCATTTTTCAGCCCTATTTCTATTTGGAAAATGAACATGTGGTTTGTAGCTGAGACGAGATCTTAGAGTTACTGGGAAGCAACCAAATAGTTAACTTAAACAAAAAATGTTCCCCCACTGTAAAACATGCTTGTTACTTTTTTTTTAACCAGAAACAGAAAATAATAATGGGTAATCTTAAAATTTTGATATTAAATAGTTTAGTTATTTGATACTAAATCAGTTATTTCAAATTGTAATACAGTGAATAGTATGTTTTATGTATTTAAAAAATAGTCGGGAAATGATCCTTTTTGCTGTGGCAGAGCTGAATCACTAAAGTTTTTAATTAACCTTATTTCATGTTCCATTTCTTTCTTAACAGAACCAGTCACCTGTGATTTTTATGGATCATAGATGGTGTGTTTATTTTGCATTTAAAACAATTATTCATAATACCATGAAGTGAAGTGAAGTGAAGTGAAGGTCCGACTCTTTGAGACCCCGTGGACTAGAGTCCATGGACTTCTCCAGGCCAGAATCATGGAGTGGGTAGCCATTCCCTTCTCCA